CTTTTTTACTGACTGGTAACGGGATCACAACCCTCGGTGTCGCGCCCGCACCACGCTCAGCCAGTGAGCGGGAACCGGTCTCCACATGGGATCCGAACCCTCGGCGGGAGCGCCGCCGCACTCCCAAGTGGCGCACTCTCCAGTGCGCCACCGGGCCGGCCCCACTCTCCTGACTTTTAGAATCAAGTTCATACCAGTCGTCAACTTTATTGATTGTGTTATTTTTGGACAACCAGATGAAATTTAAGTTTCTTGAGGTCAAGGAACATATATTTCCTCTCTCATTGCGGGAACTATTTGTCAAAAATATACTCTCCTTCTAATATTCCCATCTTGCACAGTTGTCATTCAACTGCACTTGTCTGGCAAAGTCCTAGTCCTGGGTGAGCCCCGCTGTCTGCTTCTTTGCATGTCCATGAGGATTACTTCTAGAGGAGAGCATCCACCTTTCAGATTAATGCCACAAAAATCCATGGTCCCCAACTGTAACTGGCCATTCGGTTGTGCCCAGCCAACCTGTTTTATTTTTCTGATCAGCTTCCTGTCTTCACAGCAGCTATTTCAGACCATCAGCCCTTAATTCAGACTTCCTACCTGCCACTTCCTCCATGAGACCCAACAGGTAACCATACCTTGTTACCAGAGAGAAAATTCAAGCTGACAGCAACTTTGTCAACCACATGCCACCAAATGTACAAATTTGCCTACATCCTCACTTATCTCTCTACTACTTTACCCTGAGGTTTACTTTCTGCATCTGTCCTCTCAATGACATCCCATCTCACATTGTCAAGGTTCATCTTATTCTATCAAGGATCCTCTCCTTTTCTCCAGTTCAGCTGGCTCTTCACCATTGGCATTTCAATGTGTTAGTTTCACTACCATCTTTAAGCATGATAATAAAGCCCTATCTGAAATCCTGCATTCCTCATCAATCACCACTCCATCTCTCTCCCTTCTTGCAGCCAAACTTCTTCATAGAGGTCTTTATACTTTCTGTTTACAGTTTCTTGGTGCTGCTCTTTCCTCACCCCACTTCAGTTTAGCATCTACCTCCATTACCTCATTGAAACTCCCCTTACAAAGATTCCTGACAACATCCTTAGGCCTAAACCCAATGGACCCTCTTCAGAACACCTTTCTCAGCAGCATTTGATACTGGTGACTGTGCCCTCTCTCTGGAAACAACCTCACTCTCCTGGTTTCCCTTCTGCCTTACTGGAATTTTTTTTTTTTTTAAATCTCCTTTTAGGGCTCTTCTTCCCTCTGTAAAGGTAGGTGTCCATAAGAGTTCTTTCCTGGGCCTTCTTTTCTCCTCATGCTACCACTACCAAGAGGATGACTATAAAAAATACACATTTACATCACTGCCTCTGGTGTGGCCTTATTCAAATCAAAAAGTATTGGGGCAATTGTTTTATGCTTAGGTAACATGACTTGCTTTAAAATGGATCCTTTCTACTGTATCATTAATAACAACTGGAATTTATAGAATTCCTTCTAGGCACAAGACATACCTACTTTGAAACTTATTTTTTCTCATTATAAAATAACATTTTCTTATGTGGAAAATTAACAGCAATAATATTGTAAGATGTAATATGATAAGATATAATGTAATAGAGTATAATGTAACATCCTGAGTTCTACCACCCAGAGATACTTACTGTTAACTTCTGGCATATATTTTTGTAGATTTAATATGCACACACATTATATACATGCATTTTACATAGTTGAGATAATCATGTTTTTCACCTATTTTTATAACAGAACATTTACTTGTGTCATTAAAATTATTCATAACTATTTTAATGGCTCCACACATTCCATCTTATAAACATAGAATGAAATATTCAATATATCCACCCATTACTAAATATTTAGAGGTTTCAAATTTCTTCTTTTGCATTTTTTTCCTTAATACACATTTTTTAAGATAATTTATTAAACATACATGTGGGGTACAATGTTGATTTTCAATAATTGCATACAATGTGTGATCAGGATAGTTAGCTTATTATCATTACAATACACAATCATTCTTTGTGTCCATTAACCAATTCCTCATTAGCCCCTCTCCCTGTCCCCCTCCGCTCCCCTCCTCTTTTCCACCTCCAGTAACCATTGTTCTTTTCTCTCTTTCTGAAAATTCAATGTATTACTGTGATTGCCGTTTCTTTCTTTCTGTCTTTCTCTCTGTTTCTCTTTATTGTTTATTTGTTTATGGATTCAGCTCCCAGTTATGAGTGAGAACATGCAGTATTTCTCTTTCTGTACCTGGGTTTCACTTAGGATAATTTTCTCCAGGCTCATCCACGTTGCTGCAAATGGTCGAATTTCATTCTTTTTTATGGCTGAGTAGTATTCCATTGTGTATATATACCACAATTTCCTTATCCAGTCATCCATCAATGGACATTTAGGTTGTTTCCATCACCTGGCTATTGTAAATAGAGCTGCAGTAAACATGGGAGTTCAGGTATCCTTTGACTTGATGATTTCCAATCCTCTAGATATATCCTCAGAAGTGGGATTGCTGGATCATATTGTAGTTCTATCTGTAGTTGTTTGAGGAATCTCCATACTGTTTGCTATAATGGCTGTACTAATTTACAGTCCCACCAACAGTGCAGGAGGGTTCCTCTTTCTCCACATCCTTGTCAGCACTTGTTAGTATCTCTTTTTCATAATACACATTCTTAAAAATTGATCTACTACATCAAAGAATTTCAATTTCCTGACTCTTTACATGTTTTGTCAGGTCACTCACTATAAGAATTGTATCTGTTTAAGTTGTCATTAGCATTTGATTTTCTTATTTTCAAAGAAGTTTTCTATGTTTAAAATGATATCTTGTTATCATTTTGACTTATATGTCTTTAGTTATTAAAAAAGGTTGAATGACTTTTTATTTTATTACTTGCATTTCTTTGACTCATTTCTATAGCTTTTTTGTGGGTCTTTTCTCTGCTTAATGTTACACTTAATGAGTCCCCATACCAGCCAGCCACAAAAAAGTAAAAATTAAATAAATTTTAAAAAACTTAAATGGAGAAATGCCTGCTTAGCTCTTTTGCCCATTTTTTGATTGAGTTGCTTGTTTTTTTCTTGT